TTTTGGGAAAGTATTCCAACAGGGCCTTTCATAAGAAACTTAAAACTGCAATTTATAAACCAGTTGTTTTAATGCATCACATACAAACCCTTAATGCTGTGACGATCAGATGAAAACAATTGTGTCTTCTAGTTTGTTAAGGAAATTATGCAACAAAAAAAAAAACGTATTAGTACTGACGTGTACAACCAAATCTGTCAGTCATTGTGACATGCTTTTAAAAAGAGTGTAATAATTAAATTATAACAGAAACTCACAAGTAAAATATGAGCTCAGCTTATCATATCTTTCCCCCAATTAATATAGATACAGTTAACTACTAGGCATTTGTTTTTAAATCTTTAAGAGTAAGATTACTTGTGGTGGCAATCAATTTGAAATGAGGAATTTCTAACGAAGCAAATTAAAATGAAAAAAAATAAATAAATCTAATTTGACTGAAAACAAAAGCATCAAGTAGAATTCATTGTCGCTGTGTCCTAACCATGGTTACAGTCATGGTCTACACACGATCAACTGCTCGTAGCCAAATATTAAGAGCTCCCTCTGCTGACTGGATGCAGTATAGGTCCAACATCACGCCTCCTTCATGTTAACAGATTGTACGTGGCTCAAACTATAAAATCAAACTACACGTCATTATTAAGAAGGACAAAATGGGTGTTTTTTTGCATTTTCTGTTCAACAATTTGTTACCTTTTCTTCCAGTTCTGCACCCAACAAAACAACCTTTACAAGCCTCCATGAGTAAAACTCATCTTTATATTCTTAAGTTTCCTATTGGCACAGCTGTTGACCTGGCTACTAAACATTTCCAGTAACTGATTCTTTTCTGTTTCAAGTCACATCTCTGTCTTCTTAATGGCTCATTTAACTCAGTGGAGGACTTTTGTCTGCCCCTGAAGCTGTTTTGGAGAAGATCATGTTGTTACCTCTGCGGATAATCAGTCTCTCAGTAAAGGCCTCATGACCACAGATACAACGGTCATTTTGAGACTATTTCATAAATCATGCTTGTTGTTGTTGTTGTTGTTGTTGTTGTTGTCGCTCGTGTGTACAAAGCAGCCGTTTAAATAATAGAGGCACTGAGATTTAATTGAGAAATATGGGTCCAGCTGGGGTTTTATTGAGTGATGATCTAAATCACCAACTTTGAAGAGGCAGCAGAAGAGGTTATTACATTCTGTCATTCATGCTGTTAAATTTCATCAGACAAATGTCCTCATCAGTGAAGGCCATTAACCATTCAGCTATGATTTATACTTTAGCTGTCAAAATGTGTTAAATAGAACACATAAAATGATGGATATTGATTCCATCTAATTACATATAGATTAGATAGGAGAACAAACCCATGCTGCTGGATAATATGACTTTTAAGTGTGATGCAATGTGTCTAAATGGACGACCCACCTCAGTGGAGAAGATATTGCTGTCCAACTCCGCTCCTGTGAAGTCATTATTTAGCGAGTGACGCGTTACGTAAGTCGCCCTGCACAGGAAGGTCACCTGGCTTTCAGTCATCACACTGAACTGCTGCAGAAAGTGAGTGTTGGGACAATTAATTAGGGGACAAGTGTGTAAAGGTGCTGGATGTCATTCAGTTTCAAAGGCAGAGGTCTGTACATTTTTCCAAGCAATTAAAAAAAAGAAACATGATATTTTCAGATTTTTTAGCTCATTGAATGTGAGGGTTTTCTGCTTTTCGTCGGCATTTGTTTGAAGTATTGATTGGAAATGTGTCACTGTCCCCTGCCTTTTAGTCAACATTTCATCAAATGGTCCAATAAACACATGAACCACACATCAAATGTACCTTTCTGAGCCCACATCCCTCAGTCCAAAAACAAACTATCAAAAAATTCTATGACAGTAATTTTGACAATGGACTGTTATACATGAAGAAAAGATGGCGATCCTGTGATGTTGTCGGTTTGTCTGATATGAAAACTTTGTAGTTTTTGTTTAACTTAATTTAGTTTGAATATCTTTGTTGGTTTGGGAAAAGAAGCTATCTGAAGATGTAAAAGGATCTTTGGATAAATGTCCCCTTCTTTTCATTTTTAAATAATGGTCCCATCTTCAAAAATAGACAAAGTCAATCAATTATAAAAACGTCTTTATGTACTGTACATAAAAAAAGCCCTCATTGTCTTTGATGCAGCCTGTCAGCGTACAGGACTCAGCTCTGCAAAAAAAAAAAAAAAAAAGAGCCTTTCCCTCGATCATGCGTTAAACTGAAAGTGAGCCCCGGAATTCGAAGGGGGACAAAGCCTTTTCCCGCTCTTCCTTTTAAGTTGTGCAAGAGTTAGCATTGATAGCGCCTGTTTCCCGCCCTGAAAGCAGATAAAACTTGACTCTCTAATAATAGGCAGCACCTGGCCTTTTCATATCACCATTCATGATTCATTAGAAAGAAAAATTCCTTGAATCCGTTTGCGATTGGAAGGACCTGCATCTGCTGCTTGGAGAATGTGATGGTTCGGGACAAAAGCTACAGAGAAATAGCAGAAATCACACTGGCACCTGACTTTCCAGCTGACATCGCTGGCACTCAGACAAGGATTAACTTCCACTTTGCCTCTCTCTTCCTGGGCTCAAGGCTAAAGCAACAGCTCGGCACTTCAAAGGGGGAGATAAAAAGGGGGCGATGGATGGTCATTCTTCAGGGGGAATTGGCTTAGTGAGGCTGTTTAAAATGGCAGGAATACAAAAAGGAAAGCTGTTTTGATGTGCTGCGAAGCGTCAGGGTCCGACCAGCTGTACAGTAGGCTGGCCAGACTCTTGCACATCAGTGTCTGAGCTGCACAGTACAGCAGCAAAGCAAGGAAATACAGTAAGAGGCTGACAGTAAACACATCACTGCACTGGTTTATACAGGTGTGTGGAAATGTTTCACAGGATAGAGCTGATAAAAAGTAAATAAAGTTAAGTGCAAGGTGTTGGAATGTAATATTTATAAACTATCTTCATGGTGATTTTCACCTGTTTAAGAATTTGGTCTTAATTGTTATTAAAGAAAAAATGTGTATTAATTGTGTCTGCAGCAATTGTAGAGAGCAGAAATCAAACAAGCTTAATTCTTACAACCTAGAAAACTGAAATTTGAAGACTGGTTTCCTAGGCATGCTTCTACCATGAAAATGATTTAGATGTCCAAATATCCTGAAATAAATACATGTTTTTCTGGGAAAAAAACCCCAAGAAAAAGCTTCTTCCCTTTTCACTTATTGAAGTTACCTGCAGCACTCTGAACAAACACAAGTACCCTTTTCAAGTCTTCAACATTACAAATGGACTGAAACGATATCAGTATTAAAGTGTTGGACATGTTTCACTCTTTAATAAATTCTTTATGAAGTTGATGAAAAAAGCACAATTAGAAAGACTCTTTGAATTTGGTATATTCAGGAGACTAAACACATTTTGCCCTCCCCCCTGCTTTTAAATGTTTAAAAAGTTTTACTTGATGACATATTTTGAGTAAAACTGAACATTTCCAGCTCAGGTAGTTCATGTATTACAGAAGTTGAACTCAGCAGCTCATTAAAAACTAAAGGGTAGTTGTAGAAGTTGTTGTAAAGAATTTCAGGTCGAGGGGAAGTAGAACGAAATTCTGATCCATTTTTCCACACACAGTAGGGTTGGCCACAGTTTACATCACACACTTCAGACTCGGGCGACGGGTTGCCTCGAGCAGAGCAACAACACGGAGAGTCCCTGATGAAATGATTTTCTGTTTCCATGATTCCATCTTTCTCTCGGGTCCCTGTTTACCAGACTCCTCTCTCAGGAATCACAGGGTTTACAGTGATATGTACAGTAAACACTGAGACTGCAGGGAATCAAACCACCTCAGGTCAAAAGTGAATACAAGTCTGAAAGTCTTAGAGTCAAACTAGCAGCTCTGTCAGCCTGTAATACACCCGAAGTGGAGAGAGATGTTTACACGTTCTTAGATAATTAAGATACAACCAAAAAGTACATTTGAGCTGAGGGGGACTACAGAAAAAGAGCCTTAACCTAACTCTTATCCTGCCAAAACAACCATCACTTAAAAGAGGGGATCCAGACTTCATAGAACCTTAGTAACTATCTTACTACAGTATTTGAAGCCTTTGCACAATAGAGAAGGAAGTAAAAGCCTTCAATAACTAAGGCCGTCAGCATTAACTAGTTAATCGTTTTTTTGTACCTTTTGGTGCACTGTGGATAATCCTCTTCAGTGTCTACCTGTAGACAAAAGAACCTCACTGCTGCATCTTTGAATGTCTCAATTTACAGACCTAGAGAGGGTTGTATATGAAAGATTTTAGATGGTGAAGGTCAACAGATTGACCTGGAATTTAGGAGTCTTTTTTGTTTTAATTTACTTGAAAGGACACTGACATAAATAGTGTCACTGGAAAACAGTTTCTGAAAATGAGATCAAACACTGAAGCATCCGAGGTCATGCTGCTTATTCTTTCACAAATAGAGTAACACATTGAAATGTAAAAGGTTTGTATAATCTGTAGGAGATGGGGAAAATATCGATGTATGTAAAAATCGAGATTCTTATCTTCTGAGATTTTAAATAGATTCATAATTTCCCAAAATCGAATTATGTTTTGTGGCTAATCAGTCACTCCCTGCTAAGTGCTAAGGCTAGCTCTTTAACTCAGTAGAATGCCAAATAGAGCAGCAAGAAATTCAGCCAGTGTCACAGATGACTGGAGTAGATCCTGAAGGATGTACTTATTCAAAAAAAAACTTTGAATCGAAAATAGATTCTCAATTGGATAATGACCCCAAAGAATCAAAATCGAATTGCAAGACACCCAAAGATTCCAAGCCCTTATAATCGGTCATGACTTGTTCAAAACTTGTAGACATCTTGGTTCTCGACTAAACTTTATCTTGTATCCTTAAGATACATCTCCAAACGTCTTTTGTAAGCATGTGACAAATAGATGGTAGCAGATGGAAATGTTTTCTAAGGACAAGAAATGAAATAAACATTTTCTGTGCTGAAAATCCGTGAGATTTTATTTGCCCTTGGCCATGAAATACAACCACAAAGACACTGTGCAAAGAAAGCAAAGGTTAAGCCACACTATGAAGAGTCGGCAAGCACATGTTACACAAACAAAAAATTATATATCTGCATGTTCACAGGATATCGCCAAAAGAGGTCATGCTACAAGCAACATTGAAATCAATAAATGAGGGCTAATATAGAAACACAAACACCTCAACAAATGTTTAAACCAATACAAAGTTTAAAATACTGTTATATTCAATGTTTTTCAAATCTGTTTCTAATCCCATAATACTGTTTTTTTTTGTATTTATTATTGTTTACCATCTTTTCAAGCCAAACATTTGTTCTCTACATTCGTGTTGTTGCTGCGACCATCACATGGTGCAACATTCTTTCAGATGCTTTAAAAAGCTACATGGACTGCTACTGAAGACACTTTTTATTTAACAAGACAACTTGTTTCCCCCGTTAATGTGCTACCAACAAAGAAATAGATTCTTCTGAAGGTCAGTCGCTCAATCTTAACAACTCAAACACTTCTTTTTAAGTGAAGGAAACTGTTACAACAAAGTTCAGAGCTTCAGCTCTGATAAACGACAACATGTAAGAGCAATACAAGAAAGATACATGAAACACAGGGACTCATCTAAACCATGTGCCACCTACATAATGCAAGGTTACACTACTTTTAATAAAAGCTGTAAAATGAAAAGCACTTTGAGTGGAACAAATTTCATTGGGCATAAGTGACATTTTGTTGTGCTGGCTGTAAAAGACAATAAGTTGAGAAATATTTGACACTTTCAAAATTGTGTTGTTTCAGTAATGACTGTCAGCTAAACCACACCCCTCATAGTTACTGTCTGGTTTTTGATTATGGATAGAAGTTTGAGATGATGCTTCCAACATCTACAATCATTTGCAACATACAGTATGTTAAAGCAGATGACAAACAGTATTATCACTGTCCTACACTTTCTGCTCTTTAGTTTGTGTAACTGACATGAGGAACTCTGAAACATGACAGGACTGCAGAGCTGAGTAACAGTTGCTTAGCTCTAATTGGACAGACGTAATTTTGGGGGTGGGCTTTAGTAAACACTTCTCTATGTTCCAAAATTGGGTACTACACAATGTCAAGCAACTGATCCAAAAACGTTAAACTTGATTGATTGCCATCGTTTTTATCACCAGTGGCTTTTCAAATTTACTAAAGGTGTCCTCGGCTATTTATACTTTTATATATTTTATTTCTTAAAAATCTGGCGATTCATATTTGATTCTCGAAAAGTGCAAGCAAGTACAAAATGAGCAAAAGCGTTTATGAAAACCAAATCTTTTTTTTCTTTTCTGTTTTTTTTCCATACACAATTGAAATCTCCTTTAAAGCACACAGTTAAAAAATATACTACAAAATTGTCTTAGAAACAGGAATACAAGCTGATTGATATTGCTGTAGCTTATCGATTATTAGTAATATATTTCCAAGCTGGTAGGTGAAGGTGCAACAACACAACACAGACGGACACACAGATGACAAATGAAAAGATACAGAGAATAACCTGAAGAGACATTGATGGAAGATAACGTTGTTTTGTTTATAAGTGATATAAACAATATCCTCACGTCCTCACTCGTCGTCACTCTTGTCTGACTGATCCTGCAGAGAGGGAGAGATGAAGAGCATGATGAGAGGGAGAGATTTACCTGGCAAACAATGGAGAGAGAGACAACGCTGTGTGACGAAGGTTTATTATCTGTGAAAAGCATCAACAAGAGGTGGAGTAAAGTCAGCACAAGATGAATATATCAACACCCTGAAATAAGAGAGGGCTCTCCAGATAAAAGAACGTGTCTGAAAGTGAAGCCAGTGCCCTTTCTTCACATGCTCTCTTCCTGGACTTTGCTAAGAACAAACAACACAAAGGCAGAACATGTTACCATGAGTAATAGGTAAAAAAAAAAAAAAAGACTACTTTTGTATTCACAGAGTAAAGTGGCTTCTGGCTCTGCTCAGGTGAAGGTCTAATTTTGGCTGAGCTGTTTCTATTAACCCCATGCACCTTACAGGTCGCTATCACTGCCGGCATGAATAAAATCTCTGATCCTTCACAACAGTTAAAGGTCAAACTGAAGCTCCTCTATTAAGCTGAATATTGACCTAAATCTAACTGGAGGGAATTCTATTCAGGTCCATGAATGTTCAATATTAGAAAACAGCTCATTTCTGTTTTAATGACACCAAAATACCTTTTTTAAGGTCTTAAAGCGGTCATATTATGCTTTTTCTTTAGTGTGTTTTCCAAGTGTCCTGTGCCTGTTTAGGCACATCTATGTGCAAAAATTCAAAGTCCACCGAAACACAGCTTCTCCCACTCCTCCTGTAACGCTCGGTTCTAGCCCCCTCGAAAATGTCTTGTCAGTGTGATATCACTGATCTAAGCCCATTGGCTCGTTGTGGCAAGCCCAGCAGCTCATGTTGCACGCCCGTTAACTTCTGTAGCACGCCCACGATATGCCGTAGCCTGCAGTAGCACAGTAGTGCTAAGGTGCTAATGTTTTTGCTCCCCAGCCCTCGGAGCCAAAGTGGCTGCATTCCCAATATGGTAAAAGGGGCGTGACATTTCCAAGAACCGTGCTGAGCGACTGACCAATTACAGCAGAGCCGACAGGCCGACCAATTAGATCAGACTTGGCACACGTGGGAACTCTCAACGTGGGCACTTCAGAGCCTTAGAGAGAGAGTCAGAAGTGAGCCGGTGCATGGAGCGGCAGTACATGAAAACAGACACTTTTTTCGAACTTTAGCTATTGTGAACATACTTTAGTAGGTACATAGATTAAATATACAAACCCCACAAAGGGCATAATATGACCTCTTTAGATGGAGGAATACTTATCCTGTGTTAATTATGCTGAGTTAGCTAGAAGATTTAGCAATACAAGCCCAGCTTTAAAATGATGCACAAGGCTGTGTTGGCAGGATCAGGATCATGTTGCGAATGCAAAGCTGAGACAAATAATTACAATCCAGGAAGTCAAGTTTGTCAGTGATCATCAACTGGTGCATTGTGGGCCACATCCGGCTCCCCAAAGCTTCCCTTTCAGCCCCGAGAATCTAAATTATCTCAGGTGATGAAACTAACGTAAAAATTAAATCCCAAGGCTGAAATACTTAGATTTAGTGGCATTAGATGACACAAACTTCTTCACATTGGGCTTGGTAGCTGTCAGTCCTATGTGGAGGCACAATTTGAAGTCCCGCCCCTACATTGTCTGTCATGGAAAAAAGCTGGCCTTTACATATGTAGTTGTTGACCCCTGGTCTAAGATTACATTTTAAAGATTATATTTTAACACTGCATATGAGTGTTGAAGAAGTTAGGACTCAGTTGTCAAATAAATAACTAGTTTAACTTGTACTCTTGACTCTAGTTAGACATCTAGCTTCCTCAAGTACACATATCTGCTTAAGACAACATTTAAACTCAGAAGTGCAGTTACCTTACAAATGTAACTACAAGGTAAAGGGAAAATGTGGCTACAGAGATGCCAAGTAGTGATCAGTAGAGTTCTGTGAGTAGAGGTCTGTGAATTGTAGACCCAGAATTTCCTTCTTAGAGCAACCCGGAAGGGACAAAATTGCACTTATAAAAAAGTAAAAACATAAATAAGAAAAAAAGAGCTAGAAAGAAGCTCCCTGGGAAAGCAGAGAAAGTTATCAGCGCTCAACTCAGCCATATCTGTGCAAAGTATAAACTATGCAGAACATTTCTATTTTCATTCCAGTTAAAAATTCACCTGAGTGTTTCATGCTCAATCAAATTGATGCATCTTCATCACTGTTACCTTTGTTGGTCTTACAAATCCCTACCAGGTTTTATCTTTATTGAATATACAAGTTCTAAGTCATGTAAATAGCATTCCATTAAAAATGATAACTATGAATTAGGTCAAGAGATAAATGTTTTAGTTTTCCTTATAATGAAAGGGACTTGGAGTCAGCAGGACCGAGCAGACGTTGTACTCATCTCAATGTGTCTCTGTGATTTATTACAGTCTCATCAGTTGACCTTTTACTCACATATATAGTACTTCAAATGAAGCACCAATTCAGAATCCAATTTGAACTGTAGAACTTGCCAATATATCCTCAAAAAGATTTGAAAGATCATTGTCTCTGATGAAAAACACGCAGCTTTTGTTATAGAAAACAAATGTAATTCCATCAGACCAAAAGGGAAGGCTTCAATTACTACCAGAAGGGTAGCAGAGAGACCTGTGTTTCTGCTTGTGCTAACTTCAACCTTAAGCAAAGCATATTAAGATCAGAATTCATGTTTAACAACTTCCTAACTGACTATCAATAATCAGGAATTAGGAGGCTATTGAGGCAAATGTGTAACAATGACTAATAAGCAGCCCGTATGCTACCAATTAGCATGCTAATTAGGAAGTTAACGGAGAATATGGTAACCTTCATTTAAAGTGTTACTTTAAACTTATATGCAAACACATTGAGCACCACACGATACACAACTCAAGACACATCTGGATCCTATCAGCTCGGATGTACTATAAATATGTTACAAAGTACAGTGGCTCTTCATGACCATACAATATTCTTTTCACTTTATACTGTCTTACCTGCTTTTGTATTCTTTTTTGCAGAATTGTACTTCTACTTCTAAACACTGGTAAGATCATTCACATAAGGGTAAGGCTCAATTCTTCCAGTAACACAACAGTCCAAGTTAAGCAGGTAGAAAGTCTGCCTGCAGGGCCGTGAGTGAGGTTAGCCATGTTGAGTAAGAGGCCTTTAGAGGGTATCACCCTTAAATCATGGTAATGTATGATCCCTATTATTCATTCATTCTTCATTTGCAAGATGAAAAGGAAAATAGCTGGTAATTATATTAAGAAAGGGTCACTGGCAGTGGTTTCCAAGGCTTTAATTTCCAATTACTGGTTTAACTGTGTGATGACAGAAAACGACCATCTTTAGAAGTCGAGGAGAGAATAAGCACAATACAAAGTGTGTTTTAAAACACAGAAATGACTCAGAGATGGATTCAGAATAGAATATTTAATGGCTTATGGACCAAAAGCTTGTTTAAGGTCTCTTTGATATTCCCTTGGTGTTATTTGTTTGTATTTCAAGCCCTTCAGCTCCTTTTCACATCCAGATCCTTTTATGTTTCAAATCCTTTGTTTTTCCATACTACATGGAAAGTGTTGTTGTAGGTTTGGGCTCTAGTATTCACTCGATGCTTCTTATGGCTTTAATAAGCTCTTGTATACAAGATTCTTTAGTAAAAAGCATAATTAGAGTTTGCCCTTATTGTTTGGAATGACACTTATTAGTGTTTTACAGCCTGTGTCGGTCAACAGCAGCAGATCAGGCTGGAAGAAAACGAGTGGCAATTTGAATTTTCAGGAGCATAGGAGAATAGAGCTCTAAAGTTTTGGATGAGGATTTTTAAACAGTCCTCAGGTTGTTTAATCTTTTATTTAAACATGAGTTTCTTCCCTGTTCCCCTTCATAATCGTATTTAAATGAAGGAGACCTGCTGAGGTTGAAACACGTGAAGAGCAGAGAATTTATTTTTCGGAGTAAAGTTATTTTTGGTCAAAAGATATGCTGATGATCTAGTGAGGTGAAATGACCTACATTGTCATCCTGGTCTTCTTCGCTGTCGTCGTCACTGACCACCGGCTTGGCTTTCCCTCGGCTCTGCCTCTTCTTCCCTTTGTCACTGCTGCGTCCCTCCTTACTCAGCTTGATCTTAACCCACACTGACTTGGCTGAAAGAGAAAAATAGGCAAAGAAGAGTGATTTAATCTACTATCAAACAAGTCCCTACTGCTACTGTCTTCTCAATCAGAAAACAAAAATAATTCTTCAATTTTTCCAGGAGGAAATGATGATGGCATCTGTAATCTGATGGTACCTTTGCTAAAATGTATAATTTAATAGTGCTCTGTTTAGTCATCATAGAATAGATCCATCTATGACAAATAGAGCTTTTTTCCCCACTGTTTCCCCCCGAAAAACAGTTTTGATCAAACTCCGAGTGGACCTCGAAAGGAGTTTCAGCTGTTTTTTCCTTGCTGTCTTTAGTAATATATTTTCCTTTTGTGCAGAAACACTTCATACATGCCTAAGGGTGGCTTAGTGTTGGTCGTCTCTCAACTCGAAGGTTGGGGATTGATCTCCAGCTCCTGCAGCCACAAATTGGATGTGTCCTTGGACAAGACACTTAACCCAAAATTGCACCGCTTTGTTGTTGGCATGTGATTCTGTATGAATTGATTAGTTAATACTGATCGCCCATATATAGCAGCCTCTGCCATCAGTGTGTGAATGGGAAGGTTAAGTGCTTCTAGTAGTCAGACACTTGAAAAGCACTATACAAGCTCAAGTCCCAAAAAAAAAAAAAATGTGTGTATGTATGTCCTGGAGGTGGTGATTCATACCATCAGACTCAGACTCATCTTCCTCATCATCCTCCTCATCGCTGTCATCATCACTCTCTTCGTCCTTGGCAATCTTCTGCCTGGCACTCTTGAACACGGACTGAAGGACAATAGAGTCTTCATATATCTGCAGGGGGGGGAAAAACAGATTGTGTGAACAATTCCTCGAACAGCCTGGAAGACACATAGTAAAGGAAATGTGAGAGAGTCAAGCCTGCAGGACAAAATGAGGTTGTGGGCAGAGTTAATAACAGAGGAGAGCTTAAGCAGTATCTGAGAGATGAATGGTACAGGGGTAAATCTTCTGGGTGGAGGGGCTTCAAAGAACACTGCCATTACTTTTCTAGGAACAAGGCTATATTTTACTCAAGTTCAGAGAAAATGGGTACTACTTTTGAACCTTTCTCTGTCTTTTTGTGTAACTAGTAAGTCTGACAACTCTGGTGAAGACAGAGCTTAACAAAAAAGAAACAAGGAAAGAGAGCAGAGAGAATATTTTGGTATTAAACAGTTTGCAATGAGGAATTGAATCGGCAAGAGAAGTCCCTTGTGAGCATTAACAACAAATTTTCCTTTTCTATTCACATATACATTGCGTTGTTCATCTGACTGAGGGGTGGCTTTAAAGGTCCACTTCAGAAAACAACTGGTTTGTACAGTCCAAACAAACCAGGTTACACACCACGGGGGTACACACAATAAAATATAAAAAGATGAATTAGAGAAGGTAAGAGAGACTTCAATTCTACACGGGGTGATTTCAGACCTGGGACCCCTCCAGGTTGAAGGTTTGGGCGTTGTGACAGAGCAGCATCACATCCTTCTCCAGGTCTCCAACACTCCTATATTTATGGTTCCTCACACGATCCTGTTGAAAGAGAAAAACAGCAGCATGGACTAACAGGCTGATTCAGGGTCAAACGTTAAAATCCTTAAATGTTCTACCAAAATGTACTTTGTAAAACTAATAAAAGCTGTAAGTGACTCAAAGGACACATGATACAGAGTACATCCAGACAGAACCTAAAGATTTATTAGTCAAGTCTGATTATTTCCTCGACTTATGGATTCATTGATTGATCCGTCAAATGTCAGAAAGTAGATAACGTTGACATTCTAATATTAACATATTTTTAAGAAATATTTTAATATCAAACGGTGAATGTACATTTTCAAATAGACACTGTTTATTGTTTAAACGTTTTAAAGTAAAACTGAAATAAGTGTTGGACTGCTGCATGTTCTTCATTCATTTATGGAACTTTTTGTATGAGTTTATGTGAGTCTAATGGGTGTGACTGTTTGGATGTTCTTTGAGCTTCTAACCAAAGGTCATTTTCTGTCATTATATGATGAACAGTAAAGTTTTTTTAATCTTGAATTTGCACACAAGAACGACCCTGAACGTAAGACTTTTTGATTCAGCTGCAATTTTTTGCCATCCTCTCTGTAACTTTATTGCTGGGTTGTCGTTGATAACACACCTTGATCTTTTTAAAGTCCACGGGTTTTCTGATAAGTTCATAATATTCTGGGAGCTCCTTCCTGGATGGTAACTGCACAAAGACCTCACTCAGTTGTCGTCCAGCCCTGTAACACAAAATACATTTATAGCCTAAATTTTCAATTAGTGCTCTCAGCTAAATGTCTCAGAAAATGAATACTCAAAAATCACACAGGAGAAACTTAGGTATCCAGTTTTATCAAACTGTTTGCCTTAAACATCTGGCCCTGATACATGGGAATGACAGATAAGCAAATGTGAAGATGTGGGTGACCTTCACTAAAATAGAAAGCACAAAAAACTTTGTTTAAACTTTGTACAATTTAAGTTCAAATTCAAATCTGAACTTCAATTCATCTTGTGCTTTAGCAAAAGGAATGCAGAAAATAAATAACAAGGTTGATAAGAAGTGTGAAAGGCATAGCCATGGGCAGCTGTGGCTCAGTTGGTAGAGTCTGTCTCCTCTCAACCCAAAGGTCGAGAGTTTGATCCACAGCTCCTGCAGCTACATGTCCGATGTGTCATTGGGCAAGACATTTCATCGGCAGCATATGAGGGTGTATGAATGGGATTAGTTACTTCTGATGGTCACTTTCCACAGCAGCCTCTGTCATTAGGATGTGAATGAGTGTGAATGGGTAGGTGTGACATTCCAAGTAATAGTGCTATGAGTAGTCAGAAGACTAGAAAAGCGCTATACAAGCTCAAGTCCATTACATCGTCGGTACAAGTGAGTACCGACAGCAAAAATCTTTAAATGTGACGGACCTCCGGTGATGTCATGATAGGAGAAGCAGCCTGATTCACCTGCTCCGGGAAAATACCCTCAAAAACTAGCCAAAACTTTGCTTAAATTCCTAACAACTAGTGCAAACTGGTGATCATAGCGACTGCAATGTCTGTGTTAAAAAGGGACGCCGAAAAGAAAGGCAAAACTACTAAAAAAGAAGATAAAGGGGACCAAACCGACAAGTTGCCACACATGGCAGACACACAGGATGACCACATGGCAGCAGTGCTCACTGAACTTAAAAACCTACGTAAGAAGCACACGGCGGCCTCTCAAGACACGAAGGCGACATTATTTAGTCGAATCCACTCTCAGTGATGTGCTGGAGCGTCCAACGAAACTTGAACAACAGATAGCGGAGGTCGAACAAAGAGTGAGCGACACGGAGGATAAAACACTTCGACACGAGAGGGCCATCGCTATCTTCTTCACAGAGAAGCAAAATTGTCCGCCAAGTGTGAGGACCTTGAGTCCAGAGCAAGGAGGAATAATTTGGAATAAAAAAAAATGAAGAACAGATAACCAGGAGACGTAAGTAGACAGACTAATTACTGGTGAGAGTTAAACTTTTCGAATAGGTTGAGGTTGCCTTGTTTTCATATTGAGGAATTGAACTTGGCTGGTTTGGTTTATATGAATGAAAAATAACAAAAACAAGAGGGAATTTCCCCTTCAGTGGAAGAAGGCGGAGGACCGCTTATTTTTATTTATTCTTATATTTATTTATATATATATATATATATATATATTTTTTTTCCGTTTCTTGTTTTCTTACCCAAGCAACTCTAATCAAGCGACTTGCCGTTAGATAGTTGCAATAACACTGTGTGTTCCTCCGGAGACATTTTAGTCACAACTCTCCGTGTTCATAGCAACTGATTAGTCAGATGTTAGTGAGATCAGTTCGCTGTTTGGAAGTCTGTTCAGGCTTTTTAGTGTATAGCAGTTCATGTCTTTATTTCCAGTTGGATGTGCAGTCATATATTGTATTTCAGATGTTTTACACGGGCATTACGTTTAACTTTAAAACTAAAATGAGGACAAGGTTTAAGGATAATAATACCTGTTCCAAAATTACAGGAATGACTCAACTATAACCACCTACAATGTCCATGGACTTAATCACCCCATTAAAAGGAAAACAATATATAGCCAGCTAAAGAAATTGCATTGCTCGATTGCTTTATTACAGGAAACTCACCTACCTGAAATAGAACATAAAAAATTAAAAAGGGAGTAGGTTGGTCAAGTTTACAGTTCTTCATATGGTAAAAAAAAGGGGAGTGGCAATTTTAACTTATAGGACATTAGCCTTTTCTTCAGAAAAAGTTATACAGGATAAATTTGGGAGATTTGTTATGATAGTGGGCACCATAGGAGAAATGGCGGTATCTATTTTGAACCTTTATGCTCCAAATGAATATGAACAGAATTTCTTTACAGAGATTGCAAATATAATTGCTGATAATGCATAATGCAGATTTCGTCAAACCTAAAGAAAATAAGGCTGAAAGAGCAAATTAAGCTTGAAAATAAAATGAAACAACTAGAAATAAAACATAAAACCACAGGAATGCATAACATTCTATTAGAACTTCAGCCTTGGATGAACTCCTCACGCATAAAGAGGAGGGGGCTTTAAGATTTTCCAAACAAAGATTTTATGAGAAGGGAAACAGGGCTAGTCGTTTACTAGCCTTCCAACTCCTTAAGGCCCAGGCTAATTGTTTAGTTCCCAAGGTAAACCATCCTAAACGTAAAAAAAATAGTATCTCAACTAAAAGAAATAGAAGATGCTTTTGATTCATTTTATAAAAATCTTTATGAAGATCCTGGGCAACAAACGATTGGTGATAAAACTGAGGCATTTCTTACCAACCTGCATCTACCCTCCCTGACAGAAACTGAGGCTTTAGAAATGGTATCGGATATTAATGAAACTGAAATACGAGAATCCATAAAAAAAAAAACAATTCTCCAGGGACAGATGGACTCCCCGGGGAGTCTTATAAATGTTTCACAGAAGATCTGGAGGCCAATGTTAACTCTTGTTTTTAATGATGTGCTTTCTAAAAAGGACCTACCAAGCTCATGGTCAGAGGCAATTATATCAGTGATCCACAAGGAAGGTAAAGACCCTATCTACGGTGAGGGCTACAGGCCGATTAGTTTACTTTATAATGACCTGAAGTTACTTACAAATATCATGGCAAAAAGGATGCAAACAATTATAACAAAGTTGATTAACCCAGAACTGGTTTTATTCCCAGCAGACAAGGATCAAATAATAAACAACAAATAAGGAGAACATTAAATATAATTTCCTGTGCAAGGAAAAGTACTCAACATTCTATGTTGATTAGTTTTGACGCACAGAAAGCCTTTGATACTGTGAGTAGGCACTTTTTACATAAAACCTTGGATACTATGGGATTCCATCCGGAATTTGTTGAATGGGTAAGGGTTATATATACAAATCCAAAGTCATATGTGAGAGTGAACAGTTGCTGCTCAAATGTTTTTGGTATGAAAGGGGTCAGACAGGGAGACTGTCTCAGTCCCCTGTTATTTGCAATTAAGATCGAGCCCTTAGCAGCATTAATAAGGCAAAATACAAATATTAAAGGTATAAAAGATGTAGGTCAAACAGAGCACAAAATATCCCTGTACACTGATGACATTTTAACATATATCAGTGATCCAATTGCCTCTGTTCCTGCATTAATGAGTAATATAAAAGAATATGGCAAGCTCTCAGGCTACCAAATTAACCAATCAAAATCTGAGGCAATGATGTTGTTTGGGAATCAAAAACTAGCAGAAAAATTTAAATTTAGTTTTTCTCATGGTGGCTTCAACCTTGGGATTGTCATTACCTCTGACACATCGCAGCTGTTTAAGGCTAACTATGGTAAACTATTATGTGAGATAAAGAATGATCTTACGAGATGGGAAATCCTCCCCTTATCTTGAATATGGAGAATGTAGACAATTAGAATGAACATATTACCAAGGCTGCTATTTCTGTTCCAATCTTTACCGCTAGAGGTTCCCATGTCCATGTTTAAAACAACCAACAAGTGGCTATCTCAATTTATTTGGCAAAATAAAAGGCCCAGGATAAAATTGAAAAGGCTTCTTTACTCGAAATAAAATGGGGACCTGGATTTACCTAATCTAAAAAAATATTACTGGGCAGCCCAGTTTAAGTCAATGGTTGCATGGTTGACTCAGAATAAAGATACCTTGTGGGTTGGGATGGAACAGAGTACTTGCCCTAATATGCCGTTAGACAGAACCCCATTCTTAAATCATGAAACCTGGAATTTAAATAAAATCAATAATATATGGATCAAAAACACTTTAACACTTTAGAAAGAAACTAATGCTTCCCAGATCAATATCCAGAGCAATGAGGATAAATGAGGACATAATTCAGATTTTCTCCCAACTAAACTAGTGTAAAAAATGGGAAGAAAAGGGTTTGACTTTATTGGCCAGTTGTTTGATGGTAAAGATCTAATGTCCTTTGAACAAATTAAACATAAATACAGTCTTCCTGCTCACGATTTTTTCAGATACCTACAGCTTTGACACTATTTACAAAAACACAAAGAGTGGGAAAGACTTTGCAGACTTGCCATCTCCAAAGAGTGGGAAAGACGGCATTACCGTCTAATATAGAGAATTTTTTATTTTAACGATTAAGGGAACTATTAAAAAGAAGATAATATCATATATTTACAAAATATTACAAGAAGAGACAATGGATGACAGTTTTGATATCAAGGAGAAATGGGAACTAGAGATGAACACCATTATTTCAGACGAGAAATGGGTCTTGTCATGTAGAGAGGGACACAAAGTGGAAGGAGTTCGAATGGAACGTTAAGTTGAGGTTTTTTAAGACCACTCTTATCACTTCCAAATTTGGTAACACCTCTAATCAATGCTGGAGGGGCTGTGGCTTTGTATGAGACCACACCCATATTTTCTGGGACTGTCCAAAGTTAACAAACTATTGGCAAAACATAAAAAAAGAAATTGAAAAATGTTTAAATATAGAATTGCCTCTAGAACCTTCTTATTTTATTTTAGGAATATTGCCTGATAATATAGAAGGTTAACATCTTATTACTAAGAGTCCTTCTTCTAATTGCTAAGATGATAACTGTCTCCTGGCTGAAGCAGCAGCCCCCAATGTTAACACAATGGAAACAAAGAGTTAAAGAGGTATATAATATGGAATTCATAACTGCAAAGTTAACATTAAAAACAGAGACTTTTTTGGTTAAA